ATGCCCCATGCGCCGTAGAGGGCATTGAGGGTGCTGACCGGTCCAAGATTGATGCTGGCAGCGGAATCAAAGACTGCGATGGGGTTCGAGCCAGAGATGACGCTCGAGGTGCCGATGGGGATGGGCTCAGTGATAGCGTGTTGGAGTTGGACGTTGAGATCTGTAAGGGCGACTCGCCAATGACGCACGACGCCGTCTGCATCGGCGATGGCGGTGGTATAGTTGATGTTGGGGTTAAAGCTTCCAGCGTAAGAAGGATCGTGGTTTCCGATGGTCAAGATGCTGTCACCTTTTCCTCCGTCCTCCTCAAGACGCTGGAGGCCGAGGGCGACGAATCTGCGGCCAGGGCGAGCGTTATACCACAAGCCGGCAAGGACAGCACCGGTCTCTGGTGGACGGAGGTCAACGTTGCGGTATGCTGTGTTGCTTGTCGCATTGAGATCGGCCTGGATGAGACTGTTGGCGGGAGGACCGAAGCCAATGATGCCGGTAAAGTTGCCTGAATCCATATCCTCGTTGGCAACCTGATTGCACGAACCAAAGGCTTGCGAGTTGATGATGAGACGTGAAGTGATGGAGTCGCCCAAGAGCATGGATGTGGTCTTGACTCTGCCAGAAGCTGAACCGAGCAGATAGTCGATGCTGAAAGGCGTGTCCTGGTCGACGACCGAGTCTGCACGATCGTTGAACTTGGTTACAGTGCGACCCTGATGACCTCTGCATGAGTCTGTGTCGCAGTCCTGATTGGCAAGCCAGAGATCACCGCTACCTGTGTCGAGCTGTGCATTCATTTGCTGATTGGCGGCAGTGATGGGAACGGTGTAGGTGAGCTGACCATTAGCAAAGCCACGAGAAAGAACGATGCGTGTGCTGTCGAGCGAGCCGGAAGCGGGAGAGCTCATGCCACCTACGGCCGCACGGCCGCCAGATGATGAAGATGAGCCGGACGATGTGGATGTAGACGAGGGGTAGTATGCGGAAGATGATGATGATATTGATGATATTGATGATGATGATGATGATGATGATGATGATGATGATGATGGTGACGACAATTGATGTGGTTGTTGTGACGCTGATTGTGATGCTGAGGCTGTGCTAAATGCTGGAGATGATGCATTGCCGGAGCGAGAGGAAGTGGATGCTGATGATGGTGAAGATGATGGAGAGGAAGAGGAAGACTGAGCTTGACGTGGATTTAGTCTGCGAGCGTCAACAGGCTCGGCTAGAGATCGAGGCAGTTGAGGCGAAGACGGTGGGTTGAGTGCTGAGGCGTCTGTGAGCCGCATCGTAGAATGCTATAGGCGTAAAATGCTGTAGGCGTAGAATGCTGTAGGGCGGCAAGTGATGGTGAGGAGGAGAATAGGCGCGGTGTGTGTTGCGCTGAGAGGGACACAAGATTCTATGCCGTGCGAATCAATATCTTTTCCGAGTAGCGTTCAAACCGAGATGCTGAGCGGCTGCCGTCTATCTTGCCCTGAAGAGCTGCACAGCCTCAATACATAGACGAGCGGTAGCAGCTGCGACTGGGTGCTGCGTGAAAGTGCCGAGGTGGTGAGTGTGATTGTTGTGATGCTAGAGGAGGCGATGATGCGGAAGAATATGATCTGTTTGGCGGTGTAGGATGAAGGTTAGCAAGCAGGAGAAGCGGCAGCAGAAAGGGATCAGACAACGTGCAAGTCTGCCGCTTGAACAAGGGGCACACAAGGAGAGAGAAGTCACACCCAAATCACACACACAGAGAGTAGAAATGGGAAAAGCGCTTCTTCAACTCTCTGAGTTTACGACGATTTCGAGTGCCTTTCTCCATGCTGAGCCACCCTGGCAAACGACTTGACCGCACAACGGAGCCCATGCATTGATACCAGGGGATCGGATGGCTTCTCTCGATTGGTCGTGATAGGGAAGCACAAGGTGATCGTACAGAGTCGCTCACTCCATCCTCGGTGCCGTATTTCAAGACAGAGAGGCTTGCTTTCTCGATGGCTTGCTTTCTTGATGGTCTGCCCCGATTTTCCCAAGCCACATCCTCCGACCGGGGCAACGGCCTTAGGGCCTTAGAGAGAGGGTCGGTTTCAAGCAGCACAAAAGGTGAGACAGAGCCTACACAGCCCTGAATCGGAAAAACAATAATAATAACAAATGTCACCGAGAAAAGGCGTGTTGAAGAAGAGCCAAAAATTCGTAAGTTATTGGTATGGAATCGACAACCTATGAGAAACGCGCACGGGCTGTCGCTGTATGCAGCTCTAGGTCATTCGACTTTCAGCTGGAGCAAGTGGAGAGTCTCGAAGCTGTGCTGGTCCGTAAAAGGGCTCTGTTGTTGCGCGCGTGGGATTGATTGCTTTGCTTTGCTTTTAAAACCCTACAACTGAAAAAGGGGCCAAGTTGGAAATGAAATCGGATTTTCCTGTTGGTTGAAAGTGCAGACAAATCACACGAGTTTGAAATTAAATCACGCGGTTAAACGCGACTTGAACGCGATTCAACTACACTTGAACCGCCTCTCATCGATACCGACTTGAAAATGCTCGCCCTGTGATATTTGAATTGCCGGTCGTGGATTGCAGTTCAATCTCTTTTTTTTTTTCTTTTCACAGACACAAAAGGAGAGCGCGGACTCGGACCCTCAAACGCCCATCTTTCTCCATCTTTCTATTGTACTTGTACGCTGCACCGTTGCTGTCTGTGTTTGAGTGGCCGCGCGAGCCCGTCAGCGTTCTTTTCTCACACCAAGCCAGCGCTGCGCTCTCTCTCTCTCTCTCAATCACACCCGCCTCCAACACACCATCTCGCCATCTCATCATCTCGCTATCTCATCATCTCACCAACCGCATCAACCGCTTCTCCTTTATCGCATCGCATCTCTCGTCGCATCGCTTCTCTCCTCGCTATCAGCATACTTTGATCGACCTCTTGGCCCCGTCTGCGCATCTACGCAATCTGCTCCATCCGATTGCTGCTACCGATTACAACGTCAGCACCTTCACGTCAGCACCTTCATCTCTGCTCCTTCACCTCTGCTCCTTCACCTCTGCTCCTTCACCTCTGCTCCTTCACCTCTGCTCCTTGGCCGTCTCCTCGTCGTCGCTCGATCTTGTTGATACATCTCTTTCATTGACAAGCAGCCGCTCCAGCTGCAATACCTTCATCCTGAACCACTTCCAATCCGCTTTCCTACAACTTGTCGGACTTTACTTTCGATCGCATACCTCATACACACAGCATCATGTCTGAACTTCGTCGAAAGCTTGTCATCGTCGGTGACGGTGCCTGTGGTAAGACCTGTCTTCTTATCGTCTTTTCAAAAGTAAGTGCATCCATTCCTTGCACCGCCCACCCCAACATGCCGCCATGTCCCGCAGAGATCAGCACAACCAATCTTGCACAACCCTCAGCTCAACTCGACCTCGAAAACGCCAAACTTGGAACGCGCCGGTGCAAGATGCCCATCGGCGCTAGAGCTTGAGCCTGAGCATGATTCTCTTTGGGTTATACTATGCAACCTGGCTGGCTATCTGCGGTCCGCTGCTTTGCCTCCTATCCCTCCTTTCCACTGACAGTCTTGCCTTTCGCTTGCCCTTTCATCCTCAAACTACACCCTACATCCTCGTCCGGCTGATTCTTGGCCTCGCTGACACCATCCCCTCCCCTCCCTTCCCCTCCCGCACCGCCTTGCTTCGCACCGCCTTGCTTCGCTCCTCTCGTAACAGGGCACCTTCCCTGAGGTCTACGTCCCCACCGTTTTCGAGAACTACGTTGCCGATGTCGAGGTCGACGGCCGTCGTGTAGAGCTAGCGCTCTGGGATACCGCCGGTCAGGAAGATTACGACCGTCTCCGTCCCCTCTCATACCCTGATTCGCACGTCATCCTCATCTGCTTCGCCGTCGACTCGCCCGACTCGCTCGACAACGTTCAGGAGAAATGGATTTCGGAAGTTCTTCACTTCTGCCAAAACTTGCCCACCATCCTTGTTGGCTGCAAGAAGGATCTTCGACACGACCCCAAGATTGTTGACGAGCTCCGCAAGACCAGCCAGCGCCCAGTCTCGGCTGAGGAGGGTATGGCTGTTGCCCAAAAGATTGGTGCCGTTCGATACCTTGAATGCTCTGCCAAGACCGGAGAGGGCGTTCGTGAGGTGTTTGAGCACGCCACCCGTGCAGCACTCGTTCAAAGAAGCCGTGGCTCCAAGAGGAAAGGTTGCACCCTTCTCTAAGCCTTGTTTCTTGCCATTCTCTTTCCAGCCTCGTTTGATAGCAGACACCAGACATCTATATCCCTTGTTTCCTCACATTCTTGTGAATACTCTCCCGCCTTAGCAGCACAGGTGCGCAAAGGGTATTGCAAAGGCTCTCCGTTTTGCGACCTTAGTTTTCTCAAAGCAGCTTCCTCTCCCTTGGTGCACGCTGTGCTTCTCTTGCTGATATCAATGAAATTAGCTCGTGCAACCGTAGCCTGACAATGCGTGCATCCGCTTTTCAGTTTTGAGCTTGAGAATCCATCTTGAAGGCAGCATCACGCCTACTTTCTCCTTGTTCTCACAGCGCTCCATCGTCGATCTCTGAGGTATGCTGCTTCCTGGTTCAAGCTGCCACTTGTTCCTTTTGCCAAGTCGCTGTCCTGTACGCGAGGCTGACAACGAGCTGAGGTTTGGCATGTCAAGCATCACTTGAACCGTCTCTGTGAACAAGGCCAGACAGACAGCCTCCCTTGACCCTGAATAGCTCATGAAGGGTTCTTGTCCACCACTCTCCCTTTCAGTCGCCACTATTGTTCAGAGTTCAAAGGCGGGTGGCACAGTTTGACGAACGATCTCAAGGCAAAAGTACAAGAGCGGAACAGATTACAAATGAACAAACCAATCGTCGGGAGCAAGCATGTCTATTTGATCGAAAGGTGCGAGAATGCCGTTGTGAAACCGAGACAGCTGCACAATTCTTTCTGTGCCGTGGAAAAATCACATTATATTTTGTTTATCAAGCATTCTTCGAACAAGTGAGCCAGCTTAGCTCAGTGGCAGAGCGTTTGTCTTGTACCTGGGCACTGCAATAGTGTCGCACAAGGACCATGTGGAACAAAAGGTCACTCGTTCAAACCGGGTAGTTGGCTTTTCCTTTTTTTTTTCTTTTTTTCTTTTCTGCTTTTTGAGATGGTGTTGGGGCCTTGTGGTGTGTAGAAAGGCTCCGTTCGTATCAGGACTTTTGTGCGACCCATAACGTCGTACAGAGCTGTGAGTTTCTCCTCCACTTTTTCCATTGCCTTCTGGCTGAGACGAGTCGGGAGAAGGGGAAATGTTGAGATTTCTGTAATCTCGAAAGGGGCTCAACAGTTTTGTTTGACGCCGAGATCTTGCTTTGCTCCGACTCACCTCCTCCTTGTCCATCTCAAGCTAACTTGACTACGGACCCGCGCCCTTGCTTCACCTTTCAGGCGACTCATGCAAGGAGCGACATGTCGGACTCGAGCTTCTCCTCGTCATGGCTCTCGACGCTTTCAACACCCAACGGCAGAAACGCCCTGATTCTAGGATCTGTAGCCGTTGGCTCATCAATCGCAACAGCTGCCGCAATCTTCGCTACTCAACGGATCACACGCAAGAAGAAACGTCAAGACCTCTCAGATGCGGTTGCCAAGACGGCCAACACACAAGGAGCTGACCGACTCCAGCGCTTCGATTTACACCATGATGAAGCAACCTCTTCCACGGACGGGGGCACACCACGCTACCTTTCCGGTATTCCGAGCAATTCTCTACGCCCTACATCCCATCTCCGCAATTCGACTAGCTTCTCACTGCCACAATCGCCTCTTGGGCCATCACGGGCTGATACAATAGCACGCAACGACACCTTCTCACGCAAACGTCAGCCATCGGTGGAGCAATGGGATGAGAGTCTCATTCGCGAACAGCTCTCACGCAACTACAGCTTCTTGGGCGAGGATGGGATGAAGGCTATTCGAAACTCATTCGTCATCGTTGTGGGCGCAGGTGGTGTTGGATCTTGGGCAGCACTCATGCTTCTGAGGTCAGGTATATCCAAGCTTCGACTCATCGACTTCGACCAAGTCTCGCTATCATCACTCAACCGCCATGCATGCGCTACTCTCCAGGACGTAGGTCGACCAAAGGTAGTGTGCTGCGCCGAAATGTTCGCTCAAATTGCTCCTTGGGCCAAGCTCGAAGCCTGGGTCGAGCTCTTCCGCGCGGACGAGGCAGAGCGTCTTCTCGGCGGTAACCCAACCTACGTGGTTGATGCTATCGACAACATCGATACAAAGGTCGACCTTTTGCGCTTCTGCGCCGAACGAAAGATCAAGGTTATTAGCTCGATGGGTGCTGGTGCAAAGAGCGACCCAAGTCGTATTCAGATCTCTGATATCAGCGTCACTTCAGAGGATCCGCTGGCACGTAGCGTTCGTCGCCGTTTGAGAGCGCTTGGCCTGCCGCCCATCCCGCCAAAGGAGGTGGAGGAGAAGGCTAAGCGTCAAGCTAACCAGCTCGAAAAGGCTCAGATGCAGACGCCCCCTCGTCCTCCGAACAACCAGCAGAAAGGGAACAAGGCGGGCAAGGATCAACTCGACCTAGCACCAGCCAAGGCCGATTTGGATCGCACCCCTATGAAGGCCAGCCCCAGCAAAGCCGCCAGTAGTAGCAGCAGTAGCGGTGCGTCCTCACCCAAGCTTCCATCCAGCGCACTCAATAACGACAATGGTCTGCAGTCTGGATCTCTGCAACCTCGTCACAACCGTCACATGACGTCCTCACCTTCCCCGCTAGCATCTCGAAGTGGTTGTGCCACTGATCTCACCTCTCTCAACGTCTCCACCTCAAGCAGTGCGGCCAGCTCGCGTGCAGTATCGAGCGCACTTCCTCAAGCTCCTCGTCATGGTAGACGAGCGAGCAGCGTCTCGTCATTTGGTTCCGGTGCGTACGCGACACCGATGACAACGCCAGCCGACGAAATGGCTGCTCTGTTGCCAGATGATGACAGCCAGGATTCCAGTCTCAGACCACTGGACGAAGATGATCAAGGTGCGGACGACAATAGCAAGGAGGGAGCCTGGTCCTCTGTACCGCTGGACAGACGTGCATCTCAAAGCAGTGCCGCTGCCTCAGACGCTACAGCAGTCGACCTTGCAGCACACTCTGCACCTCGCTCGCAGATGACCGACACACTTGGACGACGTGTCTCTGAAGTAGAAGAGCTCTCACCTTTGCCGTCCAACTCTTGCCCGGCTCTTTCTCGCTCTGCTTCGTTCAAGTGCTCGCTTGCCTCTACACCAGCAGAGCCTGCAAAGGCCGAGTTTACAGAACCAACGCTGTTCATTCCTTGCGTCTACTCGACCGAGAAATCGGATACGCGCCTCCTGCCACTCGATCAAGAAGAGTTGCAAAAGGGCAATGTTGACGAGCTTGCTGCGCTCGAAGATTTCCGCGTTCGTATCCTTCCTGTCCTCGGTCCTCTGCCCGCCATGTTCGGTCTGGCAATAGCTACATTCATCCTCAACGAGATCGGTGGTCAGAAGATGGAGCCACTCGCTTTCAAAGGTCGTCGCAAGCTTTATGAGAAACTCTTCCACGATTTGTCAGTTTCACAATCGCGTCATCCTCTGCCGGGAACAAAGCCAGTTGAGGAACAAGGCAACGCAGGACCTCGACACTACATCCCGTTCAGCGTCAATGATATTGCTTACTTGTTCGAAGAAGTCTTCCGTGGTAGAAGCATCGTTCCTCCATTTGACAGCTTGTCCGGTGCTCAGTTGGAGAGGTGGGATTCGACTTTGCCATTGAGCTTCCAGAATGTTGCGTTGTTCTCCAGGGCACAGGCCAAGGTGCATGAAGCAGAAGTCTTGAAGAAAGGTAGAAGCCCGTTTGAGGTTTGGGGTCCCGACGCTGCCAACATGATGAAGAGAAGGATGGCGAGCGAACGTCGAAGTGGCTTCTTTCGCTTCTGAACCAAACGCGCTGTCATCGGTTTTTGTACACTGCAGACAAACATGAAGTCGACAAAGGAAACAAATGCGAGTAAATCGAGCCAATGGTGTAGAATTACAAAGACATGTTTGTAAGAACAGAGCTCTTGGCCAAGATGAGAGCGAAGAACTGCTCGAGATGAGCTACATGTCGGTGATGCAACCGTGAGAAGCATCGGCGACATTGCGGACGAATTTGAGCAAGTGGCCAGACTTTGGCTTAAGAGCAAGAGGCTTCCATGCAGCACGACGCATTTCGAGGTCAACATCTGAAACCCCGACAAGCTCAAGAGTATTTGTCTCTGCATCTATAGCGATGATATCACCATCCTGGACCAAACCAATTGGACCACCAACCTGTGCTTCTGGAACAACATGACCGATGACAAAACCGTGACTTCCTCCCGAAAAACGACCATCAGTCAAGCAAGCAACATCCTGACCCAACCCAGCTCCCATAATCAAACTGGTAGGCTTGAGCATCTCTGGCATACCAGGACCACCTTTGGGACCCTTGTATCGGAGAACAATGACCGTCTTCTCACCCTTCTTGATCTCGCCTTGTTCGACAGCAGCAACCATAGCATCTTCTGTGTCAAAGACACGAGCTTTGCCGGTGAATCGAAGACCTTCCTTGCCAGTGATTTTAGCGACTGCTCCACCGGGAGCGAGGTTACCCTTAAGAATGCGAATATGACCAGTGCTCTTGAGAGGCTTGCTGAGGGGACGAAGGACTTGCTGACCAGCAGGAAGCTTGCCGCGCTCCTGAGTCCATCGGTCGACGTTCTCAGCAAGAGTGCGACCGGTAACAGTGATATGCTCACCCTTCATGAGTTTATTCTCGATACAGTATTGGATGACGGTGGGGATACCGCCGAGCTTGGAGTGAACATCTTCCATCACGTACTTGCCCGAAGGCTTGAGGTCGGCAAGGAAGGGAGTCATGTCGGCGATACGCTGGAATTCATCGATGCTGAGCTCGATGCCGACCGAATGAGCGATGGCGATAAGGTGAAGAACGGCGTTGGTGGAGCCACCAAGGACCATGGTGAGGGCGATAGCGTCCTCGAAAGCGGAACGAGTCATGATGTCACGGGGCTTGATGTCCCTCTCGAGGATGAGACGCATCGCGGCGCCCATGTTTTCGGCTTCGGCCATCTTTTCAGGGTATTCAGCAGGGAAGGAGGAGCTGCCTGGGAGGGTCATACCCAGGGCTTCGGCGCACGATGCCATGGTGTTGGCAGTGTACATACCACCGCAGGCACCAGGACCGGGGCAGGCGTTGCGGACAGTGTCGTATCGAATCTTGTCTGCCTCAGGCGTACCACCATTGGCGAGGTACTGGCCGTAGGACTGGAAAGCAGAAACAATGTCGAGAGTGCCTTGAACGTTAGCACATGCACCAGGTCGAATCGTACCACCGTAGAGCATGATACCGGGACGGTTGAGACGTCCGAGAGCCATCAATACACCAGGCATGTTCTTGTCACAACCAGGAATAACGACGGCACCGTCGAGCCAGTGACCACCGCAAGCAGACTCGACCGAATCGGCAATCAAGTCACGCGAGGGAAGAGAGTAGGACATGGCATCAGTACCCATCGAAATACCATCCGAAACACCGACAGCACCGAACTGGTAGCCAGTGAGCCCAGCCTGCTGAACGGACTTCTTAACACGCTGCGAGATGGAGAGGAGATGGGCGTTGCATGGGTTACCCTCGTACCAGATGGATCCGATACCGACCATAGCACGGGCGAGATCCTCGTCGTCCTCGATACCATCAGTGGCGTAAAGCATGGCCTGGGAAGCACCCTGATCCTTGGGCCTAGTGATGATGCGAGAGTACTTGTTCAGGGCACCAGGAGCTGCGCGTTGAGCGTCGAGGGTGGTCGAGGTGGACAGTGCACGACGTAGGAGCGAGCCCGCATAGGGTCTGAGGGCGGAACGCAGCATTGTGATGGCGAAGCTGATGTTGAGCGATGCCGAGGTGGTGGCAATGATGGGAGAGGTGTGAACAAAGGTGGTCAAGTGGTTCTTGTGTCAGGTTCTTCCAATGAACGACTTCCGAGTCACTTTTCATCAGCCTCCAAGCGCGGTTTTTTTATCGGCCTTATCATCCTCTCGCTGTTTTC